GATAATAATATTTTATATAATCCTATAGAATATAAAATATATAAAGCAAACTTGTCTAGAAATAATAAAAGATTTATTTATTTAAATAAAAGATGCAGAAAATCAGTTTCAATATTCAAAGATTTCTTCTTTTCAAAAGGATATGTAAAATGCAATCTTACAATAATGTTTGGTTATTTCTGATTATCTAAATGCAATTATTATTCAATTGAAAAGATGACAAGCTATTTACCAAATACAATAACTAATTATATGAAATTCTATAGAGAATTAGTTATTGATATTTTAAAAGATTATAAAGACAAAATAAATAAAGAAGAAATCATTATTAAGATCAATGAATCTAAATTTGAAAGAAGAAAATATCATTATGGTAGAGTTATTGATAGTATATGGATTATTAATAGTATTGAAAGAACAAAATAAAAATACTGCTTTTTGATAAAAATACAGAAACATAATGAAGAAATAATCAAAGATATCTTAGATAAATATGTTGAAAAAAGATCTATTATTCATACAGATTGTTGAAAAGGTTATCTGAATATCGATAAACTAGGATTCAAACATAAAACAGTTAACTATTCAGAAAATTTTGTAGATCCTAAAACAGATGAACATATGAATACTATAAAAGGATTGTGAAATGGCATCAAGTTACAGATTGCATCACGAAATCGAAATAAAGACTTAATTAAATCATACTTATTTGAATTTATTTGACACAAAGTAAACAAAAACAGACTCTGGAATGCATTTATCAAAGCACTACATTCCATAGCATATTACCAATCTGATGATATCACATCGTGATTATTGAATGCATTAGTACATGCTAAACTATAGTTCAGCTGATGAAAATATTACTATTCACAAATAAATTAAAAAAAAAATAGTCAGATACACCTGGAATTGCACAAGATAATATGATCCAACTAAAATTTTTTCATGTTGCATTATTTGTAATTGCCACTGTATTTGAGACTTATTATTTAATAAAACAAACAGAACATACTTGCTTCTAAGGGTCATTTCAACCTTTATTTATAATACTAATTTCGTTGCTTACAAATGTGACTTTGAACTTATTATTCCTTTAAGACTACTTAATGTTATTTACAATAATTTATGCAAAATCTTTAAGGATGTGTAATTTGTCTTCACATCCTCCCTTCTGGATCTGAAATACCATTTCCGATCACAAATATAACTTATTGCATTTCATGTATTTTTCACGTGATCAGTCACGAGATTCCGGTATCACACTATTCAAACATAGACCCACCCCTAACCTAAATGAACTTAAAAAATTTCGTCAATGCCACATAACTGCAAAATTTTGTTGATGATCCTGGGTAATATTTTGATTGGTGGTAATGCATTTTTAAAACCCCAAATCTATTGATATGTGAATTTTAATGAAGGTCAAATTTCTCAAATCAGCTGAGTTGACAAATTTGGAAATAAAACACTTGTGAATGACAAAACATTCGTCATTGACAAATGATGAAACTATTTTGTCCTATAGAATTCTAGAAAACCTCAAAAAGTAAACAAAAATTATATGGATAAAACTCGACAAATCTCATAAAGAATTAAAAGTATGACCTATGATAAACATTATTCTTTATATGGGGGGTGCCAGTAGAAACCAAGCAAATCAAAATTTTTTCAAAAATGAGTTTTTGTATTTAAATAATGTAAAATTTTACAAAGAACATTTTTTGCTTAATAATGAACCCCTTATTAATTAATAAAGTTTTGAGATATTACATATTAAAGTTTACATTACACAAAATTACATTTTGGTCAGAACAGATTGTCTGATATTCACTAGATTAGAAATAATTAACCAATAGAAATCACCCACATATTAAATTTATAAAAAAAAATGCGCAAACATATTTCGTATTGTTAATTAGTTGATAAATTTAGGCAATAATGATAACTAGAAATTGTACTCTATATCTTGTTTATCTGGATAATTTACTGTAATTATATAACAATTTCCATTCGGATACGTATAATATGCTATTTTAAAAAAAGCTTTCAGTACCTTTTCGCAAGCATCAAGTACATATATAGGAGCTTACAAATTATTTTATCTATAAGGGTCAGTCCATGAAGCTTCGAAAGCAATTACTTAAGTTCAAAAATTGATGTCGATGTAAGATTAGAACTCAAAAATATAATTTAATAAATAAAATCAAGAATTGATCAAAAAGTTGCGAAACTTTATAATAGTACAGATGTTTTTTAAGTAGCATGACTGAATCAAAAGCAGTTTTTATAATAGCCTATAGCCTTTTTTTGTTTTTTTTTGGTTTGTTTTGTTTTTTTTTTTTTACTTAATAACAAGTATTTTCTCTACAGGTTAATTATAAATCTAAGGTAGGGATAAAAACGGCCTAAAAAGACTGGATCACAACCTAAGTTCCAAACAGGTTACTGTTTTTTAATTTGGAACTTTTTTTTGTTCTAAAATAGTATTATACTAGCACTAAATAATATAAACGTGTATGTAAAAAATTATAATTGTTAATAAAATGAATTATTTTGATTCATGAATACTTTTGGGTTTTGTAAGTTTGGGAAGGGTTGGTTTTGCGCAATAAATATCACGCTTTGATGGGTTTTGTATGTGTTGTCATACTTTATTGTATAAATAACATTGTTGATTTAGACTTAATCCAGGTGTAGACATAATTTCTGACATTATTATTTCTCCTTTTTCTGTACGAGAAATTGAATTAACATGTGTAATACTTATCTCATTTGGTACTGCATCTGTTGATGTTTAAACTATTACCTTTCCAATCTTTTCACATGATACAACAAATTGAAGTTGCTTAAGAATTTCTGGAATTGTTGAAAAGAATTGTTCTAAGAATTTTGATCATTTATAAAAATTTATTACTTTTCTTCCTTCAGAATCATAGACAGTTGCCGCTTGGTTATATTCTCCAAATATAGATTGTTGAATGACACTAATCAAGTCCGTTAAATCATCTATTTCAGATTTTTGAAGTTTTAATTTAAAGAGACTAAAAAACCCATCTGGGCTAAATTTTGTATGACCTGCTACCATAAAACTATAGGTTATCTTATTATGAAGACCATTCATTACTCTTCACATCAAATACTTAATCATCGCATTATTCTTATTTTGCCCAACACAGTTATTGGCATATATTACAACACATTTCTCTCCCAAACCATGAAATGTAAAATAGTTATGTATGAGTGATATGACAGCATCAGCACCCTTTCCAACACTTTCATTTTCAGGAATAAGGTAATTAATCTGTATAAATAATATTTTTAGATGCAACTTAAAAGATTTTACTGTATTATCTCAAAATAATGTTTCTGAGCATTATTTCAAGATACACAATTTAAGAATACTAAGAATTAATTTAACTGAATGTGAATAATAATTTTTATCTTTTAAAAACCTTCAACTAAATTAATTCTCAACTCTTTTTAAATTGTGTATCTCGAAGTAACATTCCTAGACATTATTTGAAGGTAATATCGATATGGTAATTTAATCTTAAATGCGAATTAGTCATGCCCAAAAAATATCAGTCCCGTGATCTTAAAATGACTCGCTTATCATTATTAAAAAGTCTAATACAAATCTAATTATTAATTCGAGTCTTCGTTATACTTTCTCTTTTACTCTCTTCAACCTTAAAGGCATGCTATAGAGGGTTTCAAAATTAAAATCTGAAAAATTTTCCGATTCATAATTCAGCGTAGCAAAAATACTATTTGAAGAATCCTATTTATTTTGTAAAATGTGCAATTTTTTGCCAATTTTGAAGCCCTCTAATATATTAATTAATGATGCAGTTTTTAGACCAGGTTCCAATTAAAAAGATCACAGGATTAATACTTTTTTGGATATGGCTAGCTTGTGTTAATCATATATTTGATTACCTGACGTGAAATTCCTTCTTCACATACTCCAAACACTTCAACTTTGTAAAGAGATTTGAAGTATGTTGGACCCTCCTGCTGTGATGAATATGGAATATGAACAGCCTCTGCATAATCCTATGAAATATGGTTTTCTAAGTCTATCGAGTTAGGAATTCCAGGCCAGGGTAAGTTAGACCAATTTATTATAGATCGTAATGACATCTTTGATTTTGCAACACAATTCCTATAAAAAAAAAGAATTGTATGCATATTAGTCCTAATAAATTAGTATTAATTATTACCAATAAGAGAGATGGCAAATATAAGATAATTATATCTCTTCGAAAATACTCATTCAACAATATGATTTAATACTATACAGCACTGCTAGAGATGTGCCACATACAGTACTATACGTACTGTACACTACGTACTGTACATCGGGGTTGGGAAACCTCCTTGTCCAGTAAATTTCACTGAACACCGGACATATCAATTTGTCCAGTGTCCATTGATTTATTAATATATAGAGTGAAAAATTTAGTCATATGCTATTGTCCAATTAATTTAATTTGCTTAACTCTGAATGAAGATTACTTATTTACAAAAAAAATCATAAGTAAATTAAAAATTTTAAGTTTCACTAAACAGCTAAAGTGTCCAATTGCCCAACCCTGCTGTACATGAAAAAAATTCAGGTATCATATAAATAGCACATTCCTAAGCACTGCAGTATCCACTTTAAATAGTATTTGGATACTATTTAATTGTAAATTCTAATATTTTTGAAAAAAAATCCTGATACTAATCAAATATATAGTAATTTACTATCCAAATCAATGATTTTGTCATACGATCAATTTATATAATTAATACTCTTCCTTCGTATAGTACTCTCTCTTTGCACAATACCTTCGGGTATTATTTAGTTTATCTTGGCATTTTTGAAAAGACTTAGGGATATTGTATGCATGCTATACGGTAACATATTGATATATCACACTAAATCACATTATAGAATGAATATTTCTTAGAAGACTATTATTACATTATATTTGTTAACTTTTTAGTAAATATTACTTATAATTTTCATGTTCTAACTGAGTCCAAGTTATGTGATTTTGCCATTCCTGTAATTTTTGTTCAGTTTCTATAGTGGACCAATATTTGGCACTAAATCGCATAGATTTACATAATGTACATAGATCACTTCGAGCAGTCATAAATTTTATTCCTGGAAGATATTTTTTCCAAATTCTTCGAAAACTGGTCATACTAATTTCGTGTTCACCACCATTTTCAACATCATTATAAATTCGAAACAAAGAATTTTTACTTTCAAAAGCTGGTAAAAAAATGATTTCCTTGGTATTATCTCTAAAGCTACGACCTAATATTTAATTAAAAGAGTTATTTTTTTACAATTATTATTTTTTTTTGAACTACAGTTAACCAGTTAACTATCGATATAATTTATCAGTTTAATCGATCAAGCTCAAAGTACCAAGTTATTAATAAACAATTTCATTATTATTTAATAATTTTTATTATTAAATTATAATGAATTCTGGTAACAATTAGGGATTAGAATTGGTTTAGTCGACTATTATGCTTAGCCAACTAATTAGTTGACTAAACTGATTTCAATTTCTACATATGGGTGAAAATATCCAATTACATTAATTTCGTAACGATTTGTGAGTAATTAAGTTAAATAAATTTGAGGCAATAATTTATATGAGATGGCATGATTATTGAGAATAAAAGTGATTTTTTGATCAGAGATTATACCTAATTGTACCTGATGCTTATAAGTTTTTGTGTGTATATATCTAATTGTGACCTAATTGCTTATAAATTTTTGGTATGTTTGTACCTGATTGTAAACTAATTATCTAATTTTTAATAATCACTCTGTTTCAATTGGAGATTTTCGCCCATATGAATCATGGATCTAAGAATGTAATGTACTAATAACTATTCAAAAATTAAGTTTTAAATAGCTTTATAGCAGAATTGTATGATTGTCAGATTTATTTCATTATATAACAAGGTTTTTAGACTAGTTCAGGTTTCTGTTATATCGACAGTTAACTGTATTAAAATATCTTACCTGGTGAAAGTAATCCATGTTGGTTTGCAAAATTTGTAATAAATTTTAATACATGCAAAATAGTAGCAAAAGAAATTATATTGTTACTGATTTGACCTGTAAGTGCATGAATTTTCGGTTTAAGTCCATGATTTTGATAATGTGCACGTAACGTTTTCTACTTTGATTTACCTATTCTATGAATTGTTAACCAAGCCGTTTGGCAAATTGAAATCCCTGAAAAATTATAGTTTGTTACTAAATACGACTTTGGTGTTTTCGATGCAGATTTGATGGGTTTAATACTTCTGTCAATCATTCCTAAAAAACATAAATCCATTCCCACTTGTGACATTGCTTTAATTTCATGAAATCTATCAAGTGCCATTTGTGGATTAACTTTTGATAAAAGACAGTTTTGCAGGCAACAATTTTTTTGTTCAAGTTTTTTTAAAAATGCCTCATCATCATTTCTGTCTAAACATTGTTGCTGCTTGACACTATATTCCTTAGTGTATTGTATTGGATTTTGAAAAAAAATTTGTTGAAATTCTTTAATTTGCTGTAAAGTAAAATAATCATCTAACTCATCGTCAATATGATCGAATAGTAAATCCTCACTAGCTGACATTGAATGTTGGTAATTATCTTTATTATCTGATTTGTCATCATCAGAATTATATTTTAATTGATAAATTTCTTGTAACTGATTTAACTCATCATTTAAATCTTTTATTTCGCTATGTGTTTCCCTAAATACACTATTAAATAATGGATGCGTATTCATGTTATATTTACGCTTTAGAAACTAAATCTTGTTATCAGAAATTGAATCTTTAAAGTTATAATACACGTATGCATTTAAAATGCAATTTACAGGTTTTCACCTGGCATCACACTAATAGTACATGCTAAAACTAATTCAGAAGTTTTACTCTAATTTGTATACTCACATAGATTTAAACAATACCAATGCAATTACGATAAAAATTTACATAAATATAAATATACATTTCAGGATTATTACAGGATTATATGATTTCTTTAGGTAGAACCCTTGAATTACCAATCTAAAAAATTCATTACCGAGTTTGGGTGCATTTTGTTTTTTGATTTTACATTACACCTAATCTTTAATTTGACCGGGTAGTGAAATTTTTTCGATTGGTGACACTGGTTTTACCCTAGATGTTATTTTAAAACAATCACTTGTTAATAGGTTCGATTTTCAAATTAATATTATGCACAGAGATAGAATTTAGATCGAATTTTTATATACATTAATTTGATTCACTTGCTATCATGGTTAGTAATGGGGCTCATTAGAATTCGGATAGACTATTATCCATTTGGTCTATTCAGAGCTCTATTGGGTTCATTTAGAACTCTATTGAACTCCATTGAGCTCTATCGCCAACCTTGTTTACTGCTAATACACCATTCTCATACGTTTGAGTATACTTCAATTAGCTTACTGATACGTATTAATTAGAGCTCGGGAAGAATCCTGAGCATCTTTTTTTTGAACCATAATTCGTTACTTTTGCTTAGTTTAAAAACATTACCTTATAAAAACTCAACTTTTGAACATTGAGGCAACGCTATTCGAAAGTACTTAAATAATAGTCTGTAATAACAAAACCATCCAAAATATCTGAAAAGACGAATACCGCAACTTTTTTACTGTTAGCTTAAATGTGGTATTTGAGGTTCTTATTATATTATTAAATCAAAAGTATTAGATTTACTTTATTCAATCCATATTGTTCTTATCTTACGATCTAATCAGTGATTACAGTGATAAAATCTACTTAACTATATCAGTCAATTTTAAATAAATTAACTTAGTCGATTTTCAATTAAAGTACTTAGAAAATGTTATGATATTTCAGAGAACTAAAATTTAAGACAAGTGCGGTACTAGGAAATTCGCATACGTATTTTTTATATGCTACGGGCAATAACTTGACATAGTCGACTAAGTTAATTTTTAAATAACAACTTAATAAATTTAGGTCGACTACAGATATTAGCCTAATTTTAAACAGACGGGAAGTTCAAACCATGTTAATCATGTTTTTTGAAGGATATTTATTTTAAAATTTTGATAGATTTGTCTATTAAATGCTCTTTACTGCGGTGAAAGGTCAAAACTAACCAACGAGACAAACATAATTTTAGCCATGAATTTAATTATAAAAACAAAGCTTATATTCAGAACGCACGATCTACTTACGAAAAGAGACTAAATAACAAAAAAATTTATGAGTGATTTAAAGTTCAACAAACCAATAAAAACCAAGCAAATTTATCTAATAAATTTGCTTGATTTCTACTGACACTTTATGTTACACGATTTATGTTACACAAATCCCGATTAAGGCCGACTGATTCCGGATGTCGATCATTGTTTATCCGGATGTCGATTATTGTTTATCCGGATGTCATGTGCGTTTGTGTAACCAAACACAAAAGTCACATTATCTCAAAAACTTAAATTTATCGATTTGCTTGGTTTCTACTGGCACCCCCCCATATTACGAATTTCTTATCACGCATTCCTTATCACGCATTCCTTATCACGCATAAGTTTTATAGTTCGAAATAAGTGCATATACTAATAAGAATGACAGATGTAGATCAAAGAACAATGTTATGTGAAGTATCTTTCAATAAAGTCCAAATCAAATAAATACGACATTAACACTTTTGTTTAGTGCCTGGATGCTCGGGACAATTAGGAGCATCCGTGGAAAGAGTAAAAAAAATTGATTACTCGACCTTTGAAGATAGAAAATATGCATTAAAAAGGTGAATATAAAATTTATGACAAACAACATTTTCATGTTTTTTAAAGAATGCTTATTATCTATTATAATAATTTAATGTCAATAGTGATAGAAGCAAACAGAATAACCCGTTTTTAAATAAATATTATGCCTTCCGTTTTGCAATATTTGCATTCGTCATTTTTGTTGGAATTAGTTATTTAATGAGGAATGAGTCACTTGAGAAATCACTTGTATTCTATAACAAATTATTAGAAGCCGAACCAAACAATGCACATGTATTAGAAATACGTGAAACAATTTACATGACAATGAAAAGTTATCAAGAAGCACTTGCAGATTTAAATAAAGCATTAGAAATTGAACCAAATAATGCATTAGCACTATGCCGTCGCGGAGAAACCTACCACATGATGAGAAGATATGAAGAGTCACTTGCAGATTTAAATAAATCGATAAAAATTGAACCAAATAACGCATTGGCACTATGCCATCGTGGAGCAATCTATTGCATCATGAAACGATACGAAGAGTCACTTGCAGATTTAAATAAATCGTTAGAAATTGAACCAAATAACGCATTGGCACTATGCCGTCGCGGAGAAACCTATCGCATGATGAAAAGATTCAAAGAGTCGCTTGCAGACTTGAATAAATCGTTAGAAATTGAACCAAATAATGCATTAACACTATGCTATCGTGGAGCAACTTATCGTAGGATGAAAAGATCCAAAGAGTCACTTGCAAATTTGAATAAATCGTTAGAAATTGAACCAAATAATGTATTGTCACTATGCCATCGCGGATCAACCTATCGTAGGATGGAAAGATATGAAGAATCAATTGCAGATTTAAATAGAGCATTAGAAATTGAATCAAATAATGCAAGGGCATTAAGAAATCGTGGAGAGACCAAACCTATCGCATGATGAAAAAATATGAAGAGTCACTTGCAGATTTAAATAAATCATTAGAAATTAAAAAAATTGAACAAAATAACGCATGGGCATTAAGAAGCCGTGGAGCAACCTATTGCATGATGAAGAGATATGAAGAATCAATTGCAGATTTAAATAAATCATTAGGAATTGAACCAAATAATGTATTTGCACTATGCCATCGGGGAGAAACCTACCACATGATGAGAAGATACGAAGAGTCGCTTGCAGATTTGAATAAATCGTTAGAAATTGAACCAAATGATGCATGGGTATTAACTTTTCGTGGATATATCTATATCCTAATGAACAGATACGAAGAGTCACTTGCAGATTTGAATAAGTTATTAGAAATTAAACCAAATAATGCATGGGCATTAATAAGTCGTGGAGAAATCTATCGTCTGATGAACAGATACGAAGAGTCATTTGCAGATTTGAATAAATCATTAGCAACTGAACCAAATAATGCATGGGCATTAAAAATTCGTGGTGAAATCTATCGCCTAATGAACAGATACGAAGAGTCACTTGCAGATTTAAATAGATCATTAGAAATTGAACCAAATGATACATGGGCATTAAGAAGTCGTGAAGAGACTTATCGCCTAATGGATAGGCGTATAATCACTCACAGATTTAAATACCGACCTATTGTATGGTGAAAAGATATTGTATTTTTAGAAAATTTCTATTTATAAAATCAACGCTAATATTATTTCGTATGTACGTATGTACGTATTTTTAAATACAGTCATTACTGTGTTATATCCTTATGTTGATCCGAACAAATTTCCTTTTTTACATGTTTTGATATTGAGTTATATCCCACCTTGGTTATATCTCCAAAACATTAGAGAAAAAGGGCGATATAATCAGGTATGACTAATCCATGGCATTATTATAGTTTCAAAGAAATTAAAATCTTTGTAATCATTAATAATTTTGTTTGCTAATCATGATTATTATTTGTTAAGTTTATTTAAATTTATAAAAATCACTATGATTTAACTAAATAACTACATATTTAGTTAATTCTATTAAAATAATAATGAGATCAATTGTTACTAATGATCTTTTCTAATATTATCTGTGAATTGATAAAATAAGGAACCTAATATTTTTGTACTTTAACCTTACTTATATATATTATAATTATACGTATAATAGTTTTTTGCAGTATTTGAAAGTAAACCTTCAAATTTTATTGTTCACTAAATTATTATAAAAACTTCAAACCTCTATAATCTCACACTTGGTTTCAAAAAATTTTTATGCTTGCAAAGAATTGTGCTTATATAGGGTTAAATTATATATGTTTTATATAAGTTTGTTTTAAGTAAATGTGATTATATAGAGTGTGACTATAGAGTGTTTGACTGTATTTGGATGATCTTTTCTATTTCGTTAAAATGAGATTCCAAACTTAGCTTTCATTTAAATTTCGTTAAAATCTTCATAGTAACCATATTCTTTTATACTATTTATTCAAGAAAAAAGACAAAGCTCTAAACTTTATTATATGTATGGGAAACCTTTTTTTGGGCAGTGTAAGTTATTACGTATTTATCCGCAAAAAAAGCCAAAAAATATAAAATATAATCAATGATATCAACTTAGTCATCACTAGTCATCACTAGTGTAACAAATTTTATTGTACAATACACAACCAGGCGGATTCTTGGAATTGTCCTTTATCGAAACCCCAAATGGTTTTAAAAATTGAACCCTTATTTGAAAATTCCGGTTCATGGTTATATAAAGTCCGATAAGTAAAAGTTGGAACAAATTTTAAGTTCGAAAATGGCAGATGTAGAGCAAAGAGAAATGTCATGTGAAGTATCTTTCAATAAGTTCGAATACAAATAAATATAATATTAACACTTTGTTTTAGTGTTTGAATGCTCGGAACAATTAGAAGCATCCGTGGAAAGAGTAAAAAAATTCGATTACTCGCAATTTAGTGACGTGACACTTATCGGGAGTGGAAAATTTACAATTATATTTTCAGCTACCTTTGAAGATAAAAAGTATGCATTAAAAAGCCTAAATAATAACTTAAAAATTGATGTTAAACCGATAAGGCTAATTAAACGTGAGGTAATATACTATTTAAATCCTTAATATTAAATATTCAAAATTAAAGATTCTATGCAATAATGTAGATTGAAATTCTTTATGACATTGAACACGAAAATATCATCAAATTTTATGGAATTTCAAAAGGTATAATAAAGATCCGGTTTAAAATCAAAAGTATTAGAAATATAAATCTTAATTTGCCTAAATATATTTAGATTCACTATCACGCAGTTTTATGTTAGTATTTCAACTAGCAGATGGTGGAACTCTCCGAGAACATTTAGAGAAAAAGCTGCATGAAAATATTTACAAAATTTCATGGTGCGAACTTATTCAAATTGCAAATGGAATTGCTAATGGGTTGAAATATTTGCACGGAAATGATATTATTCATCAAGACCTGGTAAGGTTTAATTTTTTCATTCCAATCCTAAATATTAAAATTGTGATTATAACTTCCATTAGCATTCTATGAATATTTTTGTAAATAATGGTATGGCCTTGATTGCGAATTTTGGAATATCGAAACACTTAAATGAAATATCCAATCCAAAATTTTCTTATTTGACATGTAATCCTGCATATACTGATCCACGATATTTAAAACACGGGGATAAGGAAATAATTGATAAAAAATCCGACATTTATAGTTTAGGTGTCTTACTTTGGGAACTTACAAGTGGAGTTCCTCCATTTAATGGTACTCCAAACCAGATTTTAGTTGCAATGATCTTACAAAATAAAAGAGAGGAAATAATTGCTGACACACCCAAAGAATATGCCGATCTTTACACAAAACGTTGGTCATTTGAATCGGAACAACGCCCCTCAATGGAAGAAATAAAAATTTCACTTGAAAAATTATCAAGTGAAGCAGCCACTAATTGCATTGTAAATAATATTTTTAACACTAATAATTCAAGGAGGTGAGTATGAAATTTATGACAGAGAAAAATTTTTCATGTTTTTTTAAAGAATACTTATTATCCCTGTTATAATTTAATACAAATAGTGATGAAAGCAAACAAAATAATCCGTTTTTAAATAAATATTATATTTTCCATTTTGCAATATTTGCATTCATCATTTTCGTTGGAATAGGCCATTTGATGAAGAATGTGTCACATAAGGAATCACTCGTATACTATAACAAAATATTAAAAGTCGAACCAAACAATGCATTTGTATTAGGAAGGCGTGGAACAATTTACATGACAATGAAAAGATATGAAGAAGCACTTGCAGATTTAAATAGTGCATTAGAAATTGATCCAAATAACACATTGGCATTATACCGTCGTGGAGAAACTTATTACATGATGAAACGATACGAAGAATCACTTGCAGATTTTAATAAATCGTTAGAAATTAAACCAAATAATGCAGGGGTATTAAGAAATCGTGGAGAAATCTATCGTCTAATGAACAGATACGACGAGGCACTTACAGATTTGAATAAATTGTTAAAAATTGAAGCAAATAATGCATGGGCATTAAGAAGTCGTGGAGAAATCTATCATCTAATGAACAGATACGAAGAGTCACTTGCAGATTTGAATAAATCGTTAAAAATTGAACCAAATGATGCAGAGGCATTAACTCTTCGTGTATACATTTATAGTCTAATGAACCGATACGAAGAGTCGCTTGCAGATTTGAATAAATTATTGGAAATTAAACCAAATAATGCATGGGCATTAAGACGTCGTGGAGAGACCTATTACATGTTGGAAAGATACGAAGAGTCACTTGCAGATTTGAATAAATCATTAAAAATTGAAGCAAATAATGCAGGGGCATTAAGAAGTCGTGGAGAAATCTATCGTCTAATGAACAGATACGATGATTCACTTGCAGATTTGAATAAATCGTTAGAAATTGAACCAATTAATGCAGAGGCATTATCTCTTCGTGGATACATCTATAATCTAATGAACCGATACGAAGAGTCACTTGCAGATTTGAATAAATTATTGGAAATTAAACCAAATAATGCATGGGCATTAACTTCTCGTGGATACATCTATAATTTAATGAACAAATACAATGAGTCACTTGCAGATTTGAATAAATCGTTAGAAATTGAACCAAATAATGCATGGGCATTAAGAATTCGTGGAAACACCTATCGTCTAATGAACAGATACGACGAGGCACTTACAGATTTGAATAAATCGCTAGAAATTGATCCAATTAATGCATTTGCATTAAAAATTCGCGGAGATACCTATTTTCTAATGAACAGATACGAAGAGTCACTCGCAGATTTGAATAAATCGTTAAAAATTGAACCAAATGATGCATGGGCGTTAGGACGTCGTGGAGCAACCTATTACGGGATGGATAGATACGAAGAATCACTTGCAGATTTGAATAAATCGTTAGAAATTGAACCAAATAACGTATGGGCATTAATAATTCGTGGAGAAATATATTTTCTAATGAGCAGATATGAAAAGTCACTTGCAGATTTGGATAAATTGTTAGAAATTGAACCAATTAATATACAGGCATTAAAAATTCGTGGAGAAATAAATCGCCTAATGAACATATACAAAGTGTCACTTGCAGAGAATTTCGAAAATTTTAAAGAAACTTATCAGATGATATTTAACTATCTTTATTCATTTATAAAAACCACACTAATATTGTTTGGTGTGTACGTATTTTTATAACACTATGAGGTCTAAGATAGCTTCAAAGAAATTAAAGTCTTTGTAATCATTAATAATTTTTTGTCAATCATGACTATTATTTGTTAAGCTTATTTATATTTATTAAGTATGTCACTTTAAATTACTAAATAACTACATATTTATATTGAAATAATATCAATAAAATTAATTGACATCAATTATTTTTTTCTAATATTATTTATGAACTTATAAACAAAGGGACCTAAATAGCGATGTGAGTTGGTAGCTACGGTAGGTATCTGCCACTGGTAGATACCGTTAGGTTAATAATAATAGACAGATATAAATAAGTTAATATCATACTTCCTAGTAGTTAGCTGTAGGAAACACACCTTATATATACTGTAATAGTATGATAGTTTTTTCAGTGGTTATGGTGAAAATTAGTATAACCTTCTTTTGAGACTTTTTTAATTAATTAAACAAATAATTTAGTTATACAGTTATATTTTCGTTAGGTTAAGCAAGATAGATATTTTATATCTATCAATTATATCTCTACCTAAGTTATATCCAAAACTTCTTGGAAAAAAAGGACGATATAACTGAGGTTTAACCTTATTCTATAATGATAACAACAACAAATTTAGGTATTTCACACAATTTTATTTACCAGAAATGAGTTTTCTATAAGTGAAAACGAAGAGCATGCCAGAAACATAGTGGAACTAATGTTGTAAACAAAACCATTTTTGTGAAATGCCAAAACTTGATGTTTCAAATAACAAAACCTTGATACAAGTAGAAACCGCGCAAGTCAAACCCTTTACAAAAATAAAATTTCTCGAAAAGAGAATTTTATTTTACGTAGTACATTCATATGTAAATACGTATATTATATACTTGTTACAGTTTAAATTAGATAGGTGATAAACAAAGGTAGTAATTTATTTAGTGCGAAGTGCATACATAAATATTTATCCAAAGTTATGTATTTAAAGAAGACCTAGAGACCTTAATAAAAGGGGGGAGAAAATAACGAAATATCTCGAAGTCATTCATTAATGCTCTCCATAAGTATTTTGCATGTATTTATCACCGTTAACCATCAGGGCTAAACCGTGCGTACGTATATGCGTGCTGCTCACCCAACCTACATGGATGGTAACAACCTATAGTTGTCGGTAGAATTCATTTAACAAATTAATACGGTTACGGCGTGTGCCGTATTATTTTCCGTAATTTCTTTGAGCCGTAAT